AATTTAAATACTGTGCTCTTCAATTAACAGGGTTTCAAATTGTCATTAGAATTTTATTCAAGTGTCTCCTCTCGGGGCTGGGATTGTGGCTCAGTGGTAGAGCGCTCCCCTAGGACAGGCAGGACCTGGGTTCGATCCTCAGCACCACATACAAATAAAGGCATTGTGTTGTGTCAAATATCTACACCTAAAAAAAATAAATAAATATTTTTTAAAAAAAGTGTCTCCTCTCCTGTTTTGGTTATGTTATTTCCAGGAAAAAAAAAAAAAAATATATATATATATATATATATATTTTTTTGTGGTGCTGGGGATTGAACCCAGGGCCTTGTGCATGCAAGGCAAGCACTCTACCAACTGAGCTATATCTCCAACCCCCTATATTTTCAATTAACTAATGTTTAGTTCTGTGTATTTATGGTGAAGTGATACCTCTTTTGGGGTTTTGGGTATATGTTCATAGTTTAGTGATCTTAACGTTTGCTCATAAACATTTCTAAGTAATTTTTTTTAGCCATCATTGTGGTTGCTTTGTCCTGAATTCCCTGCCCACATTTCATTTCCTTACCTTTTACTCTGAAAACCACTGAAATATACATCCCACCACCACCATTCAGATAAAACTTGCCCTTCTAAGATTAGTAAAGGCCTTTTGACATTTACAGCCCACGGAAACTCTTAAATCTTTAAAGAATGTCAAAGAAATCCATAAAATATCTTTTTTTTTTTTTGCACTTACATTTTTTTGCTTTTGCTTTTCTTTATTATTATTATTATTATTATTATTATTATTATTATTATTATTATTTTAGTTGTAGTTGGACACAATACCTTTATTTATTTTCTTTTTTTATGGGGTGCTGAGGATCAAACCCAGCACCTTGCACATGCTAGGCAAGAGCTATACAGCTAAGCCATAACTCCAGCCCCTGGCTTTTTCTTTTAAACCTGGTGATAATTATTTCTTTAGGTAATCACTTGACAATTCTGTAAACAAGTAGAAACTTTTAGGCCCCAAATCTATTTGTTTTGCTTGGTTTCCTTGGTTTGGATTTTGAATAAGTAATAATTGTTTGACTTTTGCAAAATGAATAAAACCGTCAAGCTCACCAGGTGGTTCCTGATGGAAACCACCATAAGTGGTTAGTGTCAGAAAGATTTAGCCCTGTGCCTCCTGCCAGGGCAGGCAGATGCAACAAAGTACCTTTGCCAACCCTGCTGACTGAAACTGACACTCACTCTCTCTTCTGCCTGAAGACAAAAATGAGAACCTCATCAGTGAGACCTGAAAGTACACAGCAAGATTCTACTTTCCTTCCACCTTAATATCACGCACCCATGAGGCTTCAGGTTGTGGAGCAGGTCTTCTTGTGAATGACCTCTTCTCCATTTTGTAACTGAGGAGGTGGGGGCAGAGTAGATTATACGCTTTGTTTAACAAGAAGGTAGAAGTGAGACTACTTCTGTGACCCAAGCAGCACTACTTGGCCACCACAGCCCCGACTCCTTTGGCCTCCTTGCAGTTTGTGATGTCATCAGTCACTTCCTCATTAAAAGTCTTTCACTGTAATTTCACAAAAACTACACTTGGGTTTTACACATCTCTCTCTGTTCTCTCTTTCAGTCTTCTTTAAGCAAAGGATAAAGAACCCAGGCTCTTTAAATATGGGTGTGTCCCAAATGATCATACTTGACCAGTCCTTATCCTGTAGCATTTTAAGATTAGATCTGTTTCCAGGGACTCTGTTTCGGAGCCAATCACTGGTTCACTTTTAAGAGGTGGGCAGGCATATCTTAACAATCTCATCAGTTGTTCCCACTTTGATGTCCCATAGAAGGGTAAACTTAATTAATGTAGCTGTACCCCCAAATCTCCTTCTTGTGCTTCTTTCTAAATGTGTGCACTATCAATGGCCCAAGACAGAAATGTCCTTTAGGCCATTCTCTTTCTTTTCCCTCCCTAGAATCTATTTAGTTACCATGCATTGCCTATTCTTTTTTTTTTTTTTCAAACCCTAGAAGACAACCCTCCTTTCTAATTTTACTAAGCATCCTGTCTATTAGCTCAGAATTGTGTTATTTTGGTCTTGAATGATATCCTAGCTGCCTGTTTTTCCAATGTTTCATTTCTCTCACCATCACTAATTTAGTCTTGCTATAACAAGAGCTTAATAGGGTCTTCCTCAATTTAAAATGATCCCATACTTTTCCTATCCTTCATGAAAAAAAAAATCCAAAGTCTTCTTCACAGTCTGTGGCCTTCACTAAGGGCTTCTTTTCAACCTCTCCAACGTTGATGACTTTGAATGATGTTAGCTGCTACAACATCTTTTTCATGGAAGTTTATGTGGTTATTGAGTGGGGGTTTCTGATGTTGGGCAGCTTCTGTCCATGTGGTACTGCAGGGTGAAGAGACCCTTCTACTTTTATCTCCATCAACCCTTAAGTTCTCATTATCTTCCACATCAAGTCAAGGAGAGTCAAACAGCATGGTAGAGGCTCACCTACTTTTTAAACACTTGGCTATAAGTAACATTTTTTTTTTCTCAGAATCCATTGGCTATAGTTCAGTCAAGTGGCCTCACCTATAGAGGCAAGGAAATGGAATTCTACTCTAGAAGCCACTTTTCAGCAATATCTATTCCAAGAGTGGGGAAACACAAAATTTGGCCAACAGTGAATTATCTGTCTCAAAGTGAGAAATCTCTGTCAATTTCACAGCTTTCTCCCTTTTTAGTCAGCTTTTAATTACTGTGACCAAAAGACTTGACAAGAAAAACTTAGAGGAGGAAAAGTTTATTTTGGCTCATGGTTTCAGAGGTTCATTCCAAAGCTCTGGGATGGAAGTAAGACAGAACATCATGGTGGAAGGGTGTGAAACATAAAATCAGCTCAACACATGGCAACCAGAAGTAGAAAGCAAGTTCTACTCACCAAGGACAAAATATAAACCCCAAAGGCAACTTCCCAGTGACCTACTTCTTCCAGCCACATCCTACCTGCCTACACTGATCCAGATCAGTAGATTACTTTGCTCATTAGGTTACAACTCTCATAATCTAATCATTCCACCTCTGAACATTTTTGCATTTTCTGACACATAAGATTTTGGGGGATACCTTAAGTTATAGCCAATTGTGTTCCCCAAAAGTTCCTGTATGTGACAATGTAAGAAAGTTTAGAGTTAAAATGATCAGGTTATGAAAGCCTTAATCTAATCAGTGCATTGATTTGCTTGAATGGATTAACTGGGTGATGACTGTAGGCAGGTAGAGTGTGGCTGGAGGAGGTAGGTCATGAGGAGCATGTCTTTGGGGTTTGTGTTTTGTCCCTGGTGAATTAAACTCTCTCTGCTTCCTGATTGTCATTTCCTGAGCTGCTTTCCTCTGCCACACCCTTCTGCCACCATGTTCTGCCTCATATCAGGCACAGAGCAATCGAGTTGGCAGTCTATGGACTGAGACCACTGAAACCCTGAGCACCAAATAAACTTTTCTTCTTCTAAGTGCTCTTGTCAGACTTTTTTGGTCATAGTTGCATAAAACTTGACTTAGACACCTTATATTTAAACCATAACACTCCCTGTTACACTGAATCCACACCTATTTGTATTTTTGAAATGCACCAGTATAACCCTTTGCATATGTAGCTGACTTCAGCTTCTAGGTGTATTCTACTCTTCTTTCAAAACATAGCTAAGCAAGCTTTAACTGCAGAAAAGTTGTCACTGTATTCTCCTTTCAAGATATATATCATCTCTATGTCTTCTATATTATTCTGTTGTGATAAATGCTTGGAAAAGCTTGATGAGATCAATTCTGTGGATTATTGCTTTAAATCTCTTTTTCTCTTTTGCACTGAGACTTGAAAAATATATGTATTTAAAATGTGACTCATCCAGAATGATTTAGAAATAAAATTTGTAATGCACAAACTTCCAGGAATATTGTTGTTAAAGTAAGAGAATTTAAGATTTTATAAATAATGGTGATTATGTTAGGCGGTAGTGAAATGCATGTCACAAGTATTCTTTAAATTATTTTAGGGTCTTCTTTAAATTACTTCCAAAGTAGACAAGAAAATAAAGGGTGGTAGTTAATTTATAGAAAATAAACAGAAGCAAAAGAGCTAATGGGAAAGTACGTCAAAAGAAAAAGATTAATGGGACTAAATCTTGACAGGGTCCACTGAGGTTGATGTGAAGTTAGGAATTATAGCTATAAGTGTCTCCATCTGTCTGGGAAGGAAGATTCCTTTAGCTGGGCAGGCGCACTAAGGAAACTTCAACCAGCTGTTGACCCCAGTGCTGGCATTAACATGGGATTGACTTGTTAGATTAGATGAAGCCCCTCTAAATAGGTGGCCACCATGACAATTCCAGAGAGGACCAATTAAGGTCAATAACTCCTCTACCTGACATGAGGGGGAGTTGGCAGAGTACAGAAGGTGGTCCCCAGTTCTCCTGGTAAACATCAAACAGTAATAAATTTGGAGACAGCTCAGTCTCTTTTGTTGTTCTCTGCTTAGAGATGGCCCATACTCTCTCTTGAGTGGTCTCTGCTTGAGCCTCACTTTGCTTTTACTTTATTTTCACCACACTTTCTCTTTACTTTCCCTTATAATAAAGTTCTTTTGCATGGTTTTAAGTGTCTGACTTTAAATTTTCTTTCATCAGAACACAAGAACTGAGGTTTGGTTTTTCAGCTCCCTGATTTCCTGTGTCAATTACACATTTGGCTATTTATAGTTTTGTTAAAGATGGGCTTTAAAAAAAAATCTTCATTGGAAATCCCTAGAAGACAGCATAAAGATTTCTTGTTAATTAATAACAAACATCCTCTTATTCTGGAAAGACACCAAATTGCACATCCATGCCTTCCTTAATTAGTAACAAACTCACTTCCTTTTTTTCTGGAAAGATACCAGACTGTTTATTCCCAGACATGGCAACCCACAAAGTTCAGATCAAAGAAATGTGAACAGAAGTGACAAGTTTCAGTTCTAGGCCTTGCTGTTAAAACTCCCATATGCAAGGCTTCTCTCCCTTCCTGTATACTCTGTCAATACCCAGAAGCACCTCAGAAGCCACACAGTGTAGATGTCCAGGCTAATGGGAATCCAAGGGAATGATGCTACAAAGCAGCATCCCTTCCGCATATGCACCACCTCCATGCAGTGGTTTTATAGTTTTACTTATTTTCTTATCCTGTTATTAAAGTGTAGAGTTGGTAAGACCCTAGCATTACTCAAATTAATAGGACTACAATGTTGATTTAAAAGGAATTTATATTGGTAATTTAATCAGAAAATTAAACTCCCTTTTCATGGCTAGTTTTTCTAAATATAAAATGTTGCTGATGCAAAGTGAAATCAGCCTTCTGGTGCTGCTTTCCATCAATCCCTGTTACATCCATTTCCCTTTGAGGCTGTGGAAGTCTTAAGAGTTACTGGTTCCAGCATTAACCTAGGTAAGAAAACAAAGATAACAGCAATCATGAGAATTTTAGAGGGGTACATTGAATATCCTCAGTGATACAACAAAAAGCCAGAATCACAAATAAGTACAACAATAGTATAAAATTAAGAAGAAATGACCTACCATGCACAAGAGAACAGCAATAAGCTACTTGTGTTGAGTGTGAAGTCAGGCAAAAAACTGTGATGAATACCCTCCGAGTTCATAACCAGGGTCCTTCCCAATCCTCCACCTCCCCAATAGACATGTCTATCATGTAACAAATCAACTGGAGTTAAGTCCAGGGTCAGGCAGTGACTCATCAGCACATCACATTCTTGGACTCTTTCCACATTTCAACTCCACCATCTTCAACCTTGCTCTCTGATGGTCTTGAGTTGGCCAGTTCATCCTTACACAGGAGAGAAGGAGAGAGGTATATAAGTGCACACACGTGTGTGTGTTTGCACACATGTGCACATAAATACTCATATACATGTAAGCAGTAAGCCCTTTCCTAAAAGCCCTCAAGAAGATGTTCCCCCGCCCAGTATGGATAATATGCTCACCAGGCCACCAACCACAGGGAAAGGAGGATGAACTCACTTGAATGGACTACCAAGCAAAATTCATCCTTTGTGTTCTGAACCTCCTTCCATATACACAGTACCTGAAAAAATGGAGTTTTTTTAGCAAGTGATTCTGAAAAGGTGTTCCAGGTAAAAAATGTCATCTCTATCATGGAAATTTGTTAGAAAAGCTCCATCCTAGAAATACTAAATTAGAAACATTGAAGGTGGGACTCTGAAAATTTAGTATTAACTGGTTTTCTAATGATTCTTACACATGCTAAAATTTGAGAATCACTTATTTACTGCATTAAAGTAGAACTTGAGTAGAGAGTAGGCAACCAATCATTTATACCATTATCTAGATATTTTCTAATTAAAGGCACCTTTCTGAACTCTAAACTTTTCTTCACAGACCATAATAAGACAAAAATGAAATGGTTAAAATAACAAAACAAAAAAGATAAAAAGAAAGAAAGAAAAAAGAAAGAAAGAAAAAGAATCCAAAAGTTGTAAAAGGCACAAGGATTCAGAAACATTCAAAGAGGAAGCAGATGTGGTAAAAAAAAAAAAATTGCAAGATACAGGAAGTATGTAAAGAGGGCGCTAGGTTAAGAAAATTCAATTTACCTCCACAGAACCCCAGTGAGACTGAGGACTTATTTGTATCAAATGAAGGAGAGCATAAAGTTGAAAATCAAAATTAAAGTATTGACTGCCTGAAGGTCTGTGCTCAGAAGCCTGTTCACTTACCCTGTTGCTACCTCCATGGAGACAAAGCAGCAGCCTAAGCAAGAGGTGGCAAGTGTCTTGGGTGTAGAAATGAACACAGAATTGTTTGGATTAAAAAATATAATATTCATCCTAGAAGAAGAGATGAAAAACTAAAAATGAGAGCTAACCAAATTTCCATATCTTCTCTAGCCTTTTTCTACAGTAGCAAAGCTAAACCTGAAGCAAAAGTTTACTGTAAACAGGGCACCTTTCTAAACAGTGTGTGTTTTAACTTCCCCAAGCATCTTTAAAACACTATCTATTACCACCCTCATTTACAGATTAAAAAACAAGAGATTGTCAGGTTACTTGCAAAGCTCACAGCGATGGTGAGTTGAGGAGACTCACCATCAAATCAGATGGAAAGTTAGATGGAAAAAAGAAAGAGGAAAATTAAATCACCCGGTCTGTGATTTAATTTTCCTCTTTCTTTTTTTCCATCTAATTTTCGCAATTTTTCTCTCCACCTCCCCCTCTTTCCTGCCACCTCTTTCAGTAAACCTTCAAATGTTTGTTAACCATGGTGAGCAAGACAATGAGGGAAAAAAATAGGAAGAGCGGAGAATAAGGTTTCATTTCTTTTCAGCTTTTAGGTTGCTGTGGAAGTCTCATTTGGAAGATATCCTGTTACTTTTGTCAATATAAATGTTGAAACAAATTCAATAAGTATTTGTTTTATGAATGCCTGTGCATGGGCTGGAAAATTAAACATTCTTTAAAAATCTGTTCCACTTGATTTCTAAACTACGTTTTAAAAAAAAAATCATTTCATGGGGTGGGGGAGGGGGCAAGACAACAAGAAACAAAAGGAACCATAGAGGAAAACAATCTCGTGCTGCGACAAATTGAAGATTTGTGTTTCTTTTCATGTTCCTCCCCCTCCCACCTCCCCACCCCCCCTTTTTTTCCTTGCTGTCTTGGTATGATTTCTCGCAGGTGGATGCTAGAAAGTGGGGCGGGGAAAACAGGACAAAAACGAAACTCCATGGAAGTAGAAGGGTGCCCATCAGGGTGGAGGAAGGGCAGAAGGGTTGGGAGGAGATCAAAGGAAGGGAAGTATTGGGGAGGGAAATTGTTAAAAAAAAAAAAATTAACTATGTACGACCGTGCCACAATCAAATCCGCAATTGTGTAAAATGAATAGGCATCAAGAAAAACTAACTCTTAAACCACAGGAATCCGAGGGATGGAGGTCAAAGCCACAGGAAAGGAAGTTTCCCCGAAGAGGCCACTCCCACCCAGTGACTTTCCAGTTCAAGGTGGTGTAGGCGCCAGTTCATCTCTGCCTTAACCCCGGGACAAGTTTTGGGGCCTCTCTTAGAGCTGGAAAGCAGCGGGGCAGCCGTTCCGCTGGCTTCAGGCAGCGGCTCCGCCTCCAGCTTGGCCGACTCCGGACCGCGCTGGGGGGACCCGGCGCATCTGCGCAGGGCAAGGGAGGAAAATTCTTGAATACGCAGGATCCAGGAAACGAAACCCAGAGCCCCTGGTGTCCGCGCCAAAGTTTCCTCGCTAGCTTTCACTCAAAGGCGTTTCCTCGCTAGCTTCAGGGGAGGTTGTGTAACACCTGTGCCATCAGCAAAAGAGTCGAGAGGAACGCAGCCTCCACCTGGCGCCCGGATTCCCAACAGCCTGAGCCACAGGTGAGAGAGGGCTTTCTCCGCCGCCTCTCCGCCGCGGGGGCGCGGGACCTGCGCACGTTTCTGGGAGCGACCTAGGTGAAGCGAGCTGCCCGTGCGGAGAGGCACAAGGGTCCTTGTGTCCTGTTTGCTCTGTGGGTAGAAGTTGGGGAGGGAATTCTGAGGGACCTGGAATGAGCTCGGGAATGGAGCAGAGATTCAGCCAGGACCCAAGCTGTGCGGGTGGTATTCTTGGCCCATCCCAGGACGTTTATAATGACAAAGGTGTGTCCTGTTGGGGGTGTGGAGGATCCCCAAGGGCTCTACTTGCAGTTAGTGGCACCACTTCACAATTCAGAGAGCAGTACTAAATCATGGCCAGAAGGTGAGCGCAGAGCTTGGGCCAACTTCGTGGGGCATTATAAGGCAGGATTAGTAAAACTGCTAGCTGCCATTGAACAGCAAACATTAATAGGATTATGGCTGCAGCTCAAACTATGTTTGGCAATCCGGAATACAAGACGAATAAGAAAGAAAGAGGGGTAGACCGGCATGGTGGGTGAGCCCTTCAGATGCCCGCTTCCATCCTGCCTCACGTCCATGGGCTCTGGGCCAGTGTCTTCACTCATGTTCCTTTAGCTGCCTCATCTCTGAAATCTCTGAAATTGTGTAACTATTACAAGAACCACCAAGTTAAGAAAGAGCATTACGTGCATTAATATAAGGTGTGAGAGTCCCACCTGGCACTGCAGAAGGTCCCCAGGCAAAGCTCGCTTCCATTATTTCAAGTATTTGGCAAAGTGCCTGCTGCTCCTTGCTGACCCCACCCCCCACCCCCGGGGGGGGGGGGGGGGGGTGTTTTATTGATGCCTTGGATTCCTGGATGTCTGGGCAGGACCACTTCCCAGTTCCAGAAACCAGAGTCACTTCTTCAAGTTTGGCAACTGGAGACATGTTAGAGAGCTGCAGCTTGGTGAGAAGTCTTAGGCACATCAGGGCTCTTTCCCCTTCCTGATCCTGCCTTACAGCAGAACTTTCTCTTAAGTAGGGCTTTGAACAATGAGCACACACGGAAATTAAAAAAAAAAAAATGAGTTTCTACATTTGGATAGAAAAGCAGCGTGTAAATAAGGTGGATGATAGACCAAGATCTGTAAAGGGGCTTAGCGCACAGGCGGAGGGACATTACAGTAGGTGAACTGCCCCTGTGCACCCTCCATCCTCACCTCTGAGGAGCTTCTCCCTTCCCTGTTCTGCCATCTCACCGACCTCTCATTCCTGGGTGCGTCAAGACACTTCTGGGAGTCTACACTTCTGAGGTGTGGTGTCCCCCTCCCCCCGCCCCCATTCAGTGTCCCTGGTATACACCCCACAAGCATAACTTCATGACCTGGATGCTTATAGACATTTTTTTAGCTTTCCTGACAATACCATCACAGCTATCATCTAAGTAAGGATTTAGATATGTCATCTACCTGTAGTAATTTAATTATCTTAATTGTTTAAATCCCCAAGTGCCTTTGTATAGTACTCAAATGCCTGGATAGAGACTTGCTTGTTCTGTATCTAAAATTAGTACTCTTGAGAATCACGTTTTCCACTTGGTGAATACTGAGATGGTAAATGTTTATGTAAGCATACAGGAGGATGTGTGTACCATGAATGTATGTGTTTCATACACACTCACACACACACTATAACACAATATTGCATAGTGCCCAATACCCCTGTTAATAAATACTAACAAATGTTTGCTTTCCAAATTTTGTTTGATAAATGCTTAGAAAATCCTTATCTGGCCTAGTAAAAAAAAAATGTACATGGCCACAAGAGCAACAAAACTTTTCTGTCTTACATATGAAAGGCATTACATTAAAGGCGGTCTCTAACAAATGTCATTGAAAGTTGGGAGCCGACTTGGAAGATGAGTTTTTGTTTATTTCACCTCTTTGGTTTATTGTTAGTTTTGTAAAACCCTGGACACTACTAAGTTTGTCTGAGTAGATGTATGATCTACATTCTTATTCAAGGTTTACAGTAAAATACTATAAGAATCTATCCCCAAATGTTTTTTTTTTAGGTTTGTATCTTTTTAAAAAAATTTTTATTTGTTTTAATTAGTTACACATGACAGTACAATGACCTTGACATATCATACATTTGAATCAGATGGGATATAATTTCTCATTTTTTCTGAGTGTACAGGTTGCAGAATCACATTGGTCATGCAGTCATGTATATACACACAGCAATAATAATGTCTATTTCATTCCACTATCCTTTCTTTCCAAAATGGTTCTAAGCACATTTGTTTTGTTTTCTTGAGCCCAAACTACAGAAGTGGATTTTACGGAAGACTTCCTGTTACAAGCTACTTTGCACTTAAAATCTGCCTCCATCCTGCATCAGACACCTATTTTGCAAGTCTATGTCCTGCTGTATCAAATTACTTCCCTTTCCCCTTTCCTCCCCCTCCACCCATTCCTGTAAATGCCCTTGTTTTGCTCTGCTTATCTATTAACATAACCACAATTAAACAGATGCAATATTTTTCTCATTAGCTGTTCATGAAACATTTTTAAATGCACACAGTTTACCCACAAACATAATGAGAAGGACGTTAAAATCACTTAATTTTTGACTATCCTCAAAAAATTTTGTCTTCTTCTCCTGGCCTACTCCAGTGACCCTCCTTTTCCTCTTCAGATCATGCATCACCATCTTGGTATTGAACTTGTTTATATTGTGTTTTTGGTTTGCAGGAGATGGAGGTGGGGGAAATTTGTGGTTAGATAATTAACAAGTAAATCCAGGTAAATAAACCAAATCTATTTTATGTACATTGTGTAGACATAGTAATTTTATGATCTTCTAAAAATACTTTTTGAAAGCAATAAAAATTTTAGGATCCTAAGTGTTCGGTCAGAGGTTGTCACTGTAGTATGAGTTATGAAGTCACAGCTGAAAATCTCCATCCTTTTTCTCCCTCTCCCTAGTGGGAGTATTTTACAATGATCAAATAGCCCAGAGCAGCAATAGGGACTTATGACATTTGACAGAACAACTTATATATATATATATTTCTGTAACATATGATGCTAAAATTACCACCAAAGTTCTCATTCAATGTAGGAAGAAGTATGCAACCATCAGATTATATTTTGGAGTTCTGTTTGTTCAGGTGTAATTATGATTCCAATCATACAATATATATTATGAGTTTATTATAGACTTTTTACTCTGGATGCATCATAAATATGATTTCCTCTTCCTGGAAAAAATATATATTTATTTATATTTATATATGATTAGCAAGAACCATTATTTAAAAGCTGTTATGTTAAATTTACTAATTCAATCAGGGCACACCTAATTATTTCCAAAATGAATGATATGTCTTGAAATAGATCCATTAAAGTTGAGAAAACGGAAAGATGCTCCTAACAGCCAATAAGAGGTCAGGAAGAGAAGGCACCCACATGGTAGATGACTATATTTATCAAGTAAATAGCACTCTATTAT